GCCGCCGCACACACACACTCCCTCCCTTCCATAGCTCCTTCTGCCTTTAGGAGGAAATAAAGGACTTTCTGATGATCTAAGAGACCCTGTAGAGTAGTGGTTCTCAACCTTCCTAATGCCGCAACCCTTTAATACAGTTCCTCATGTTGTGGTGACCCCCGATTTCATTGTTACAAATTGAACATAATTAAAGCATATGATTAATCACAAAAACAATATGTAATTGTATATGTGTTTTCCGATGGTCTTAGGCGGGTGACCCCTGTGAAAGGGTCGTTCCGCCCCCAAAGGGGTCGCGACCCACAGGCTGAGAACCGCTGCTGTAGAGTCTAGCTTCATGCACCCTGTCCAGATGCCATCCTCACGCACTGTACACACTTCCAGACCATCCTTTCCGTCCTCAACACCTACATGTGCCTACCTGTAGAGTTAAATCCTGTAGGGCACTGCCCTGGCTGCCTCCCAGAAGCGCAAGCCATCCCACCCCCAAATCTAATTGTGGCTGGCAGACTCCCCACCCCCAATTAACCAAAGTTCACCCCAGGAGATACTAGCATCGTCTCCTTTTTACAAATGAGGACACTGAGATTTGCAGAGGTCAGTGCACTTGGCCAAGATCATACAAGAAGGAAGTGGCAGGGCTGGGACTTGAACCTGTCCCACCTGACTCCTGGGCTGTGAATTCCCACTCTGCTGCTCCAGAGCCCACCTTGTGGGATAGATTCTTTTGTGTTTTATTAATCTTCACAGGAGGATATTTTTTCCATTGCTTTTCAGAGAGAGTGGAAGGAAGGTAGAGAGGGAGAGAGAAACATCAATGTGAGGCACATCGACTGGCTGCCTTCTGCAGGCGCCCTGACCTGGGGTGGGGAGCAAACCAGCAACCCAGGTGCCTGCACGTGACGGAGTCGAACCCACAACCCTTTGGTGTGTGGACCGATGTTCTAACTACTTAACAACACCGGCCAGAGCAATTTTTGAGAATCTTTTGGTGTCTATGTGGGAAGGCTGCCATGATGGACATAAATTCTGGACTCAAGTCCAGCTCAGCCCTTCCCAGCTTTGTGACCTTGGGCAGATGATCACCCTCTCTAAACCTCAGTCTTACCCTCTGTAAAATGGAGATGACAATCATGCCTGTTGTAGAGTTTTAGAGGAGAGTCTGATAAGATCACATGAGTAATGTTTGGCAGAGGGCCTGACACAGCGTCAGTACTTTTTACATTCACTCCATTGTAAATATTCAGAGTGGGACAGAGTACTTAGAGCTGTGATGGGGACTGGCGCACTGTCAGGAGGCTGTGGGAGGATCTCGCCCAGCTGGGACAAGCAGGGAGGACTTTCTGGAGGAGGGGATATCTGAGCCTGCAGCTAAAGTATGAGGAGATAAACAAGGGAAGAGGAGGGTAGGGCGAAAGCTATTGAAGGCAGAGGGAGCAGCAAATGCCAAGTCTTGAAAGTGGTTTTTATCCTTTTAAAATATTCCTATGTTGCCCTGACCAGTTTGGCTCAGTGGATAGAGCGTTGGCCTGTGGACGGGGGGTGGGGTGGGGT